CTACCGCGCGCGACACTTCCGCGCAAATGAAGTTTTTCTCTTCTGTTAATGTTGGGTTAATGCTGGAGGAATCATCTGGGATGCTAGAGAGATCACCTATGATATCGGTGGGATCACCTGAGATGCTAGAAGGATCACCTGGATTGCTAAAGGAATCATCTGGGATACTAGAGCGATCGTCTATGATACTGGATGGATCATCTGAGATGCTAGAGGCATCGCCTAGGATGCCAGAGGGATCACTTGAACTGCTGGTAAGCTCATCGGAAACACTACAGAGACCACCTAGGATGCTGGAAAGATCATCTGGAATGCTGCCTACATCGCCCGAGATACTAGACGCATCGTCTGGGATGCTAGACGGATCGCCTGAGTTGCTGGAGGGGTCATCTGGGATTCTACAAGCGTCACCAATTGATGCGTTTAGTATCATAGGTGATGCATATAGCATCTCAGGCAATCCTCTAGCATTTCAGATGATCCCCTAGCATCTCAGGCGATCCCTCTAGCATCCCAGGCGATCCTTCCAGTATCACAAATGATCCCTGTGGCATCATAGGTGATTTCCGTAACATCCCAGATAATTTCTATAGCAATCCAGGTGATTCCTCTAGCATTAGCTCAACATAAACAGAAGAGAAAAAATTCATTTGCGCGGAAGTGTCGCGCGCGGTAGTGTTGCTGCGCGGAAGTGTCGTGCGCGGAAATGTCGGCGCGGAAGTGTCAGCGCGGAAATGTCGTGCGCGGAAACATCGTGCCACGGAACTTTGAGACCATTGATAATGACTAAAGACCGAATTATCGAAATAAAGGCAAATGTTTACCGATTTGGCTGAAAATTGTAGAACTTATTACTATTATTGATCTCTATAATTGCTGAAAGTTTCAGGTCAAACGGTCTTTACTTTCTGAATTTTCTCAGAATCACATGGGTCCCACCTGCTCTATGATACCAGAGAAATATCAGTATTTTCAGATTCATCATTTTTTGGGCAAATTTCAAGATCCCAAATTTTTAATCGCATTGGCATGTAGTACTAGGATAGTAGTCTTTGAAAAAAAAGTTTGAGCAAAATCGATTGAACTGATCAGGAGAAATCGATTTCACAAGATGGACCCTTTTGGGCCTATATTGAGACTAGGGTTAGAAATGGGGATAATACTTTTTAATAACATATCTCTTATTACATAGGCTGGTTATGTTCCCCATGTTGAGATCTATCTCTGGTAAAAATTTCAGGTCTCTATCACATTCTGCTGAAGAGATATTGTAATAATACTGATGGTTGCCGGCCACCCAAAAAAGATAAAAAGGCATTTTGAAGCTTTTTAGTCGGTATTTCGTATCTCAGCCAAAATTCAAGCTTTAGGGCTAAAAATTTGGATTTATGCCTAAAAAAATGTCCTCTACAAGATGGGCTAATCATATCTCGATATGCGATTATCGATTGAGCACCTATATTGGAAAATCGGTTGTCCTTCTCGTGCAGTGGCTCCTAAGCAGATCTTCGATTTTTTAAACGTCATTAGTATAACGAAAGTATGACTATAATATTCATTACAGAGAATCGAGACAGAGATGAAATAGATATTCATCACGAACTTCCGCTTATCTGATCAACTGATGATTTTTTCTTAGTCACAAGTCTATCGAGTGTATTTATCTGTATGAATCGCACACAATTTTATTGATTTAATGGTTCTTTCTTGTAGAATTTTGTCCACATTTTACATAGTTAGCTTTCTACCTGTGTATCCTATTCTATTTATGATCTTTTCGTGATTTTCGATATTGAGATCGAACTATCGAAATAATGTCACTGGTTATTTCATAAGATAAGACCTAACCCTGATACGCCCACCTGGGGCCCGCGCTGGACCCCAACTAATTTCATTTAAGTGTTATTCACACACAATGTCAGACCAAATCCCGCCTCTCTAGATATGCTCTAGTGAAGATTTGCACTATATGTCGCTGACGTCAGCCGTTAGTCATGGCTAGTTGCTTACGTGATAAACTATCTCGAAGTACGTGTGAACGTTTGTTGCCCACCTGGGGTCCACCCAGACCCCAGTAAAATTCCTTTTAATGTTTTGTAATTGTAGCCTGAGATAGGGTCTTATCCTTCCATGAACACTTTAGGAACAACTAGTAGAGTACGCTGGTAACAACAATCAATCAAACCGATGCTTGGAAAATAGAGCGTTACTTCAGGAACAATTAGTTTCCAGCTACATTGCAAATTGCCGAAATTTCAGTTCTAAGAAAAAAGAAATCATGCTAGGGACGAGAACAATGTAAAAAGATTGAATAAATACCATTCAAATTAACTGCTGTTCTGTTTGTTCTTCTTAGACATAAGTCTCCTTCAGAACTATTATAGTTCTATTACAAAACAATGGCAATGTACTCTATTGTTCCCATTTTATCAGGCTGGTGTCCGTACGGACCCCAGGTGGTCAACAAGTGACAGTCCGAAAGGTGGGCGTTTCAGGGCTAAAGACGATACTTTCACGCTTCGCAAGTTTACCTATCGAGAAGAATGAGTGGATCGTTAACAGCGAGTGTGAAACCTTTGTGTAACATAAAAATGCTTAGCAGTGAATCGAAAATCTTTTCAGGGTTGGTATAGATGTGTGGGTGTAGGTGTGGGGTGTGGTGTGATGAAAATAAGAGTCCCATCCACCCACCCTCTCCACACACCCATACCCAAACACCCACATTTACTAAACTAAGCTCAAACATCCAATCCCGCCTATCGATGTGCTGAGTACAAGTACCTCAGATTCGGTTAGACTCGTTTAGACTCTGGCTGAGCCTAAGTCCGACCAAACCTGACCCTGCCAAAGCCGAGCTCCACCTGCTCGGTCTAGGCTCGAGCTCGGCACATGCCTACTTCTACTCACAACTATACATCTACATTCAATCAGGGTGCGGGTATGGATCTGGATGCGATACTTTGTGGATAGATGTGAGTGGGTGTGGTTATAGTGAGCGAGCTGTGGCAACATCACACCTAGTCATGCACATCCAAACACGCGCACTCAACTATCCGTGCATCAACAATCACTGAGAATCCCTCGTACCCACACCCAGACTTAAATATGATCACAATACGTTGAATATCTGAATAGATTTATATACGTTTACGATTTTCAGCATACTCCTAGTGCATTAACGTTTGTAGTATTCATAGAGTCCGGCGATACAGTCCTGTATCTCGAAAAACCTTGTTTGTCTCGTTCCATGGGACAAATGGGACTGGGACAATTCGAAAAAAATTTTGTCTCGAAATGTTTCAGCTTGTACGTCGAAATTCATTGTAAAGTTTAAATTTTATATTTTTTACAAACATTTTAGTATTTATATAAAAAGTGTCAAAGAAAAACAAAAAAAAACAAGCCACGAGAGGCTTTAATATCTAGTTATTATCATTCTCTTTATCAGTTATTTTACCTCTAATTAGGGATGCACCAATTCCAATTCCGACCAATTCCAATTCTTAGAATTGTCGGAATTGGTTGAAATTGGTCGGAATTGAAAATGGAATTGGTTGGAATCGTCAAGAATTGCGATTGGAATTGGTCGGAATTGGAATTGATTGGAATTAGAATTGGTTTGGAATCGGTCTAAAAAAATTGGTGATCGATCGACGATTTCTCGAAATATGTGCGAAATCAACGATTTTAAAAAACCCAATTCTGACCAATTCCAATTCCAATTCCAATTCCAATTCTTGCCAATTCTAACCAATTCCAATTCCGATTCCAGCCAATTCCAATCCTAATTCCAATCGATTCCAACCAATTCCGATTCCAATTCCAACCAATTCCAATTTCCAATTCCAATCGATTCCGCCAATTCTTAGTGAAGAATTGGAATTGGAATTGGTTGGAATCGGAATTGGTGCATCCCTACCTCTAATGGTATTTAAGCATATCATTTTATTTGGTTAATGCACTTCATCGATTAATTAGTACATGGATGACAGGGAGAGTGTATTAAAATTAAAGTTGTACTTCAAACTAATCTTTTTGTGTACTCAAAAAGTGAGTACACTCTAGAATCGGTCATTGTGTCCGACCGTCTGTTTACACGATAACTTTTGAAAGGAGAGTCCAATCGCAATGAAATTTTCTACACAGTTCAGTCTTAACAATGTCTCGGTCAAGTTCGAAGATGAGAAGAATTGGCCGAACCATTCCTGAGTTATTGCAAAAATACTCATTTTTTCCTATGGCTTCCTATGCGAAAATCGACCCATCCCCGCTTTCGTAAAAAACTTTTCCTATCATACTCAAACAAAACCCCAACTATTATATACCATTTGATAGAGAATTTTACGAGCTACAAAATGGTATATAAAACATAAAGAAACAAGAAGGCTAGCTCACTTATTGAAAAGATAAATAAACGGAACTGGGTTCTGTTCTTGCCCACGCTCTAACTGAGGGTGTGGGTATGGATGTGTTGGTGCGGGTGTGGGTGTGAGTGAGTGGCTGTGTGTGGGTGTGGGTGTGGGTGTGGGTGGGTGTGGGTGTGGGTGGGTGGGTGTGGGTGTGGGTGGGTGGGTGTGCATGTGGGTGTTTTTTCTTTATCCACACTCACACCCGCACCACCCACACCCATCCACCCAACCCACATCCACCCACACCCATACCCCCACACCCAACCCCACCCCCACCCCCACCCCACACCCACCCACACCCACACACACACACCCGCCCACACCCACACCTTCACACACCCACACCCACACCCTGTGGGGCTTAGGGTGTAGGTGAGAGTTTGGAGTTTAAGATGCAAGTGTATGATTGAGGATTTGTGTGTGGATGTAGGACTTAGATGTTCTTCTGGATATAGGTGCAGCTGTGAGTGTGATCTTAGGGCAGCAGAGAGGCTTGTGTGAATTAGGCTGGTTTTACCTATCTGCAGTACATCCATCCTGCTTAAATACTCACACTCACCCCACATCTACAAATACATATGCAAACCCACCCACACTTATCCATACGTCAAAGTCGCAGCCGAAATCTCATATCTACATCCTGCAACCATGCACTGACACCACATCCACTGCTTTCATCCACACCATAGCATTATGCTTTATAAAGTCAACTTCAGATATAGAAATATGTAGCACAATGAAATGTTGCAACGTTTTGTCCATGCAATTTATTGTTTTGAGAAGACCTGTCCGCTCATCACCAGCCACATCCACAACCAGTCACTGACAACCATCAATCCACGCCCACATTCACACCCTTCTATATTCAAACGAATCATTATGGATTTGTCGATAAGTAGGCACTTTCTTATGACATCTATTGAATATATACATTATTCTGATGATATTGTTCAGCTTACATGGTATCTGATCATACCATTACATTGGATTTGTCGAGTTGTTGATCACTTACTAAGTTGATTTTGTAGCTTAGCCACTCATGGAAGCCATCCTGAAAATAAGTTTGACTCATTTACTAAATTTTCTTCGATATAAAACTAGTAAAGACGTATGAATTGAAAAAAGGTTATGGATTTCAATAGAGTCGTAAGTCTATAACAAGTTTATACGCATTAAACAATGCCTATTAAATTCCGTTAGAATCGAGTGTCAAAGCGTTTAAAACGAGCTTTTTATATAAGCATATCTGACTTGGTTGTAAAGTTTGAAGGATTCTGTTCATTCCATACCTGCATGTCGAGAGCTTATCGGAAAGTGGTGTCTGTAAGTTCTAGGAGTCTTTTCAGGTGACACTTGTGATTTTTTTTTGAGTGGAGCATTGAGGTTCCATCTATGTCCGTCTCAAGGGATTGAAACATTTACAGATAGAGGTGTAAGCCGTACGGCTGAGCCGCCGTCGCCGCCGACAGACTCGAAAAATTTTAAGCCGCCGCCGCCGTGACAGTAGAAATTTTAGAAATTTTTAAGCCGTCGCCGCTGAGACACTTTAATTGCAGCCGCCGCGCC